AGAAGCTTTAAAATGGAGAAATTGACCCAGTAGCTCAACAGACTGAGGACTGTGGTTGCTACTGCATTTTAGAGCTGAAGACTCAACTTCCAATGCTACCAATGTTAACTACCACAATTTCCAAACAGGAGCTACTGTTCGGAATAATAGAACAGAGAATTGTACCTCTTGTACGCAGTCTTTTTGCTTAGTTGGAAAAGGGGAAAAACATCTCTTAAAATGGTGGAAGATCTTTCTAATTTCTTCCTAATCCTGCCCCTGCTGCTTCTTCAGATAGTTGCTCATGTTCACATTGCCCTACAGACAGGAGCACAAGCCTCTATTTCTTCCCTCACCATCTGCCTCCTCAAGCTCAGCCACCAATGTGGGAGTTTTCACAGGCTCTCCAGGCAGTGCTTCCCAGCCCTTGGGGTTAATTCAGAAGGCAGACAGAAAAGCTTCCTGTGTTTGAGATGTACTGGGAGCCGTTTTCAGCCATCTTCAAGGAGCAGCTTGATGGGTGGACAAAGTATATGGGCATATGGGGGGTGTGAAGTGGGGAAATGCCATCTAGACTACAAAACTGAGAAGTGATTGTTTCTGAGGGGGTGTGGAATTGATAATACAGATCCCTTTTCTCTGCGACTGCAATGCAGAAGTTTCTTTGTGCAAAGCTTGGTACTGACATTGAAATTGATGTGTGGCCTTTAGGTAAGTCACTTAATCAATGTGTTTGTAAAATGAGGATAATAACATTTATTTGCCTGCCCGAAAAGGATGTGGCATGGACAGACTAGTTAATGCTGTAAAATGCTATTTATTAATAACAGCAAGTACCAACTCCACTTAAACCCCTCCTTGATTGGTAACTGAAATAGCTGAAGAATAGAATAGAAACCTGAAACATAAAGGTGATAGAGGTCTCAGCTGAAGTGGAGGTGGTTAATCCCCTTCCTTTTCATTGAGCTAGTTGTGCTTCAGCTGAGGCAATAAATACATTAAAAGTCTTGACCATATACCTGCTTTTACTCAGAAACAGAATAAGGAGGAGTACTGTGGGATTCACACTTGATTCACTGTGTAACACCCCATTGATAATGGGTCAAGGGAGGAGCTGGGTGCAACACAGGAAAATACATGTTCCAGCCTCTGTTCAGGGAGGCAAGTGCACTCAGGTGCTCCTAGAGCAGGAAGAGCACTGCCAGGTAAGACAGAATTAGATGCATCATTACCATTTTCAGCCCAATTAACATCCTTGCTCTTCAGGATTAAATAAGGCCTGTTTCTTGCCTTTATGTAGGGCAGATTTAAAAAAATAACAAGTCCTGAGGGTGGCAAGGATGTATATAATTCTGTAGAGCAGCATGAAGTGGATTAGGAAAGGAACTGCAGTAAACTGGCTTACCTATGAGCTGTGCCTTGAGAACTCTTCTAAGGCCTCAGCCTGCCACTGCTTTTCCCTCAGGTGTTTCTCTCAGAAGGCAGGAACATAAGGTGGATCCCCTAAGGGGCTGAGAGATCAGGTCTTCCAAAAAGAATTCCTTTTTGCCATCTGTAATGCCTCCAAGATTCCAAACCAATCATGTTTAGTTAATGTAGTAGTTAAACAGCCTTAGGTTTCTCTTAACAACTGTTATAAAGGGGCATAATTTGATCCTTCCTTACACTGACTGAGAGCTAACCAGTAGGGTAAATACCTCTGACTTTATTAGAACCTGGGGGGATATCTGCTTCAGGAATATGACATGTAGCTCAGTTTAACTGCTTGATATTTTCAAGAAGAATTTGCTTGAAATTAATCAAAGAATCAAGAAGATTGGTGGTATTTCCAAGAACATATCAAGATCATGGAAATAAAAAAAGTTGGAATAGTTAACTCTGGAGTGACCTACTTTGCCTATCTCTGGACTACAGCCTAGGTTTCCCATTTTCAAGATCTATAATCAAAACTGAGCGCAAACGCAGCCTGGGAAGCAGGCAGGCGGCTAGAGCATCTCCAGAGCAGCAGTGAAAAACAGAACGATAGGTACTTGGCTGGGAACCTGAGACACTGGCAATACTGGTTGGCATACTGGCAGCAAGTCAGCTTACTTCATGTATTGGAGAGGATAAGCTTTACAGTGAAGTACAGATGCAGAAACATTTTGCCATATTTTGTAAAACAGTTCCAGGAGATATTGTGAGTCACTGCACACAGGTCTGCTACCCAGACAGAAGTGTCATGCAGAGGCAAATCGCTGTTTGGCTTAGTGTGTTAATAAGGTTAGAAACAAAGAAGTGTCTCTTTGGGGCTTGGACGAAAAGTGGTAGCTGTAGCACATTCAAAATAGAATGAAACGTACTGAAATCCAGACATTTAATGGATGCACTTCTGAGAAGGAGACTTAAATACAGAAATAAAGAATACAGGATGCTGTAGGCTTATCAGGTTTAAAGGAAAGCCTCTCAGGGGAGCTCTGCTATGGTAATACATGGGCAGAACCCTGTCACTCAGACTGTGCACTGAAGAGATTAGGTACAGGCAAGGTGCAGCAACTGCTGTCCCGTGGGAGACAGTACTACTGGATGTGAAGGCACTGGCTATCTGCCAGTCAGTGAATGGTTAAAAATATTTCTGGGAATGCTCTGTAATTTAATGTTCCTTTCGGGTTTTGATTATCACAGCCTTACAGAAATATCAAATTCTAAATGAGAGAAAAGGCATCTGAACTAGCCACGGCAAAATATCTAGCACTAGCAACGTGCTAAGTGTCCACAGCTAACAGGGATATCATGGAAGTGTTCAAGGCCAGGCTGGACGGGACTTTGAGCAACCTGGTTTAGTGCAAGGTGTCTCTGCCCATGGCAAAGGACTGGAACTGGATGAGCCTTAAGGTCCCTTCCAACCATAACTGTTCTATGAAATTCAGTCAAAACAAGCCAGAGGAACTCAAATTTACAGATACAAATCCTAGTCCCAGACTATCCTTGGATTACCTACAGACCAAAAATAATGCACAGACAAGATTTCAAATTCATAAGAAATATTTTAAACAACTGGAGAAAAAGTTTCTAAATGAATGAATGCTTTGTATTTCCCTTCAGTACTGGAGTGAGTCACAGTTACTGATTTAAATAATTACATCATATTTTTTGTTATGTTTTCTTGAAAAATTGGCCAAGTTCTTCTATACTTCATCACTTTGTGGTGATGATGACCTGGAGATGCCCATTCTATTGGAAAAATTCTACAGATGGATTGCACTTCTTAACAGGAACAGTGGATCCTTAGGTGGATTTCAGACAAGCACTGTAACTATCCAGTGATCAGCAGCTTCTTGTTTGCCTTGCAACTCTGGCAGTTATCCCCAAGTCACACATTTGGCAGTTCATAAAGTCTAGACATCCATCTACATACACTTGAGAGAGTATGAGTATCTTATTTTGGCAGCTGAAAGTAAAGTCATGTAAGGATACATTTATTACTAAGTTCTTAGGGATATATTTCACTCACAGTTCACTGAACTCTGGAAGGTGGGTCAAAAATGATTTTAGATTGAAAAGAAGAAGGCATTGTAGTATATATCTTAAACTGTGGTTACGCAGTGATTCTCTTTGTGTTGGGGCAGAGAATATGGGAAAGGGTAAGAGTGCCTCTGGAAACAAAGATACATAAATCTGGTGATGTACATACAGACCTGGTGATGTACATATTTTCTTCTTCTTTACCTAAGAGTTTTGCATGTGTGTTGTAGGAGGAAAGGAGATTCTTGCCTCTGTGTCTAGGCCACAGATGTCCTTGGCGCTGCTCACCTCAAGTTCTAAGGTTCAAGCACATTGGTAAATTTTCTTACTAAAGTGTTTCCTGCCATTGCAGTGACATTGCTGCAAAGCCAGTGATTCAGCACAGGATTATATGAAGTCCAGAACAACAGTGGATCACATCATCTGAGCTTACTGACTCAAAATTCCTGTGTTCAATTCAAATTCTCTCTAAAAAGAAACAGATGCTGTTTTGCTTAGAACACAGCCGTATATTTTTACAAACTCTTGTTTCACTTTCTGTGTTTTTAAGTCATTAGACCCAGTTATTCCAGGCAAGCAAATTTTAATCAACAAGAAACTCAGTTTTCATTGATACAGCAGTGAGCTATGTCATTCTGCCAGCAAAGATAGATTCACTGAGTGTTATGGTAATTAATATGTACACTGGAAAAGGGGATTTTCCATCCACCTTTAACGAGCTATTCTTAGCACTAGAAGTATTTCCTAACCCGTGATAGGAGCAGGAGATTTAACCTCACCCTGTCAAACTTAACAGACCAAAAGTGTTACAGGAGGGGGAATTCCAAGTCATCTCAATTATACAGCACCACATGAAATAATTATATTTGGCTACCCTTTAGAAGGGTATGTTCTTGAGGGATGACTTTTATGTACTGCTCCTCCAAACATGACTACGTTCTGACTGTGCTGGTTTTGATTTTTAGGTAGCTCACCTAGCTATAACCTCTGCATATTATCTCTAATTATGAATGACAATCTTGTATTTACAAAGAGACCATGCTCTTGGAAGATTCTTTGCTTCCTTATCTATGGAGGTTTACAATGTAAGACAAAAAAAACCACAAAAGCTTTTGTTGAATCTTCTCTAACGTGATGAAAAGGTATCAGAGAAGATTTTATACTTTTTACTAATACTAATATATGATGCAAAGGACTTTTTAAAAAGAATTAAGAGAATTAAAACTCATCAAACCTCTTTCAGTTAATATGCAAACTTGCACTCAAAGCAGTATGTGAAGTACATCAACCTGAAAGACACAATGTACCTGATTCAAATCTCTTGAAAAGACTTGTTTTCATGTTCCTGAGTGTTGAATAGGTTGTAAAATTAATGTAATTAACTATAGAAATGCAGCAGAACCCACCTCACTTCCCCATTATTGTGTCACCATCAAAAAAGGTCTTGAAATTTATGAGAAATTAGTCCCAAACATACAAATGAAATCATGTGAAGAAGCAACACAAGTGCTAACAGGTGAAATGCTAAACTTCAGTTTATTCTGAAGATGAAAAACTAGGGCAAGACACATGACTGATGTTCTACGTTCAACTTGAACAATAGTTCTAGATTTAAGAAAAACAGTAGACTCCAGGTGATAGTATTTCTTACTGTTGGCTTGTTTTAAAATACAAATATCTATACTTCGTTCTATAGAAAGGAAATTAGAAAAACAAGAAAACAGTTATTATTGTTATTGGCGGTGTTGTTGGGTTTTTCCTTTTTACACATATGAATACCCATGCTTTATTTTACAGAAAAGGAGTAACTCCTTGTGCATCTCCTCACAAAACCAGGGAAATATTCTGATGACACTTGTATTATGTATTCCACAGTCCTGTCCCTCGACCAACATGCAATGAGATCACAGAAAAAACAGAAAGGCTATCTCATCCATTGGCATGGGGCTCAGTTTTCTTCCTTGTAACCTTAAATTCCTTAAGGATATCAATGCAACGCGACTTATTGTAAAAAGAAGAGAAAAAAATCACATTAAATCAAAGAAGAACTGGACAAGTGATAAGGAGAACATAAATATGCAAGCAAGTAAAGCAAGGATAAAAGCCCTAACAAATCAGTATTAAGCTGGAAGATTACAAATTTAATAAAGGCAGTATTTATAGAAACAGAGCTTGCATGGAAATTCCTAAAACATGAAAGGAGAAATCAGATGAAAAGTTTTATTTCAAGCAATGTAATACAACTCCAACACAGAGTTCTTCAGAAGTCTTCATGTAAATATTATTCAGAACTGCAAGTAACCCAGCAATTTGGATATAAAAAGGAAAGATCATAGTGTTAATGACTTGTAGTAGTGCTAGAGTGGGTTCAACCTACCAGAGTATACATTCTTCGTAAGCACAGAGACAAGATTAAAAGCAAGTCTGCTCAGTTAAAAATACAATGAATATGTGTGGTATCCTTTTCCTAAGAAAAGGCTAACTAATAAAAAATTAATCTTGCTTTTTCCTCACTTTCAGGATGTCTAATATATGTTCTCATTAGTCAGTCCTTTTAAACGCTAAGTATATTGGATGACTTAAGATAGATGGATATGCACCGTGAATGTCTTTCAGTGTTATGCCTGGGATAACAATTTGATGGTACAGGAGGTTATGTCCTTGGCCCTCGAGGTTTCCTGGGTGACAGGAGAAGTAATCACAGTTCACAGAAATTAGATGTATGTACAAAAAACTAAGCATTGAGGTTGTGAGTATATTTTGAAATGACAACTGATTAAAGAAAAAAGGAAACAGAACACAGAATTTAAAGGATAATTCAAGTTTTTGTCATTATGTAAAACATATAATCTGATATGAACAGAATTTTGGTGGGTACTGCTAAACTATGTACTTTTCAGTTAGACACACAAGTTATTTAAAGCAAGGGAACCTCAAACATCCTATTTAAAATCACATAGGTAATACTTGTCCTTAAGTTCTGCAGAGAAATATTTTGTGTTCAGATGATGATGGTCCTGATTTAGAGGATGACTCAGCTCCCAGGATGGAAACCTTTGTGAGTTTTTCTTGTGCATGTGTTGAAACAGATCACAACACAGGAGTTACGGATGAGACAACTGAAGGGAGAGCATAGGTCAAGCAGCACCAGATAATTCACAAACTGTAAGAGCAATTCAGTATTTTAACTGTGTGTAGCTGAAACAGGAGAAAGAACAAATAATTCTAACAGTTTGGACAATGACCTTATGAATGGAGAAATCTCTTCATTTGCATAAATTAATCCCTTAACCTCAAGTGCTAAAAAAAACAGATAATGACCAACAGCAAAATGTCAGGAAAGGACTTAGTGTGGTTTGCAAGACTACGTTTTAATGGAGGTAAGATGTGAAAGACTTTGAAAGAGGTGCATCACTGATAGAAAAAGTGTTAAATTTATAGAAGGTTGGTATTAAAGCAAAAATATCTGTAACAGTATTTTGCCTAGAAAACTGTGCTATGAGAGTTAGTGATGACAAAGTAAATTGCACATGGGTTCAGTACACCTTCTAGTCTATGTATTGTCACTTATCCTACTACAATTGCTCATATTTCAGGTTCTTTGAAGAGAAAGAGCTGGAGTAAAACAAGACATAAAAATACTTGTAATTATTCACCAGGACAGAGATTTAGAATACTTAAATATTTCTATGGCATATTGATCTAGGTACAGCTGGTTAATGTAAGAGAATAGTGCACAGTCAACTGATTTGCTCATGGCTCCATCAGTCATGGATGTAAGACTTTTCATAACCTGTGTCAGAATGTTATCATAAATTTGGCAAATTCTGCAAGACCAGAACAAATTGGAAGAGGTACTGGAGTCAAGTTTTTTATATTCTGTATTTGCAAACTACTAAATTGCAGGCAGACTGTAAAATGTGCCTTTGTACTGCAGCATTATAAATGTTTACTTTGTCTCCCATTTATAGGTGCTTTACTCAAGTAGCTAAGTGACAAATCTGAACAATGCAGCAACCTCCAGTTTTATACAGCTCTGCTGAATATGTGTTTTCAGCAGAACTACTGTGAATCTGAAAAATCCACCATCGCCTTCTGTGTCTCCTGGATTCTCCACTAAGGAATTACAGTTTTATATTGTTGAAACTACTGATTTTAGTAGAGTTACCATCTGTCTAATAGTGGAATAAAATTGCAGAGGATGGCAGGTATTTGCTGAGAGCCCTGGAATAAACATATTGTTTAATATTCAAACTAGCTGGGAATCAATGACAGGGAAGGAGATGGTGTAAGGAAGAGGTTTAAAAATAAAACTAAACCTACCCAGGAGTGAGGAATTAGAAGCCCCAGCATGAACATCATTGTTCGTGTGAACACCACCAGGAAGACTTAAACCTGTCAACCTCAGGACCTGAAGGCACACTGGAAAGGTGACCATACCATCAGAAAGGTGAGGCTCTTCTTTATTAAGCAGATGATTTGGTGGACTGTTAGTGTATTTACTCAGCTAACAGTAAATTCTTGGCACTATCTGTATGTATGGTACACCAGATTGTGAGTATAACAGAAACAAATTAGTGGACAATGTGGGCAAACCAAATCCAACCCCTTTCTAGACGTGTGCACTCTGCTCCTAGAAACATCCATCCTGCTCTCCTTTTTAGCACAAACAGCTGAGCTGAGGGAATAGCATATTCAGCAGGGACGTCATCTTTGAGGTATAGAATCTTGCAAATCAGTCAGTTCCAGCAGTAGCAACTGCCTGCTATGAGTGGATGTGTAACACTGTATGAGCTTTAAAAGGAAGACCGGGACTTTCAAGGTCGTATCAATTAAATGATGGCAAGCCAAAAGAAAGCAGAGGTACATTAGAAGCAGAAGACGTTGTCAGGCTCTGTTCCAAGTTTTGTGCACGGCAGAGGTGGGCAAGCCTTGAGCTAGGAGCAGGGTGCATTTAAGGAGCTGTAGGGGATGTCTTGAACACAAAAATGCGTTTAGTTTTAGGGCCTATAGACACTGGCACAGTATGGAATAAGATAGCAACCCATATGAGGGGAAGTGATTTAGGGGACACTAAAAAGAGTTCATGAGAGAGTATGACTCGTAAGAAGTGTTACTTTCATTGGCATTTACTCTCAAATATCCTTTTTTATCAAAAGGGGAAAGGGAATGACAAAGTAAAAAGAAGCAGAAAAGTAGTCCATGAACTTGTACAGTGGTAGGAGATAATGTAGTAAGGAAATAGTCAGACCTAGCACAAACACACACACACGGAAACAACATGAGAAAGCTGGGGAAGAAATGCAGTACTGCAACAGTATTTCCAGTAAGTCCCCTACCAGATCACTAACTGAATACTGGCATAAGGAAAAAGGCAATTGGCTGCTTAAGCCTCTTTACAGACGCCAAAGCACGACCTATCATTGAGGGTGGCCTGCTGTCCTGGTGGAACTATGGGACAAGTGGAAAATGAAGAGCCTGGATGTTGCCCGAGAAGATAATACAATGCAAAAAGACTGACTACCTGGCACAGGCTGTCATCTGTGCAGTGCAGAAGGCTATTCTGATTAAGCTGGCAGAGGAAGAGAATGAAGCTCTAACAAACAAAGAAGCTGAATATTCAAGCAGGAGAAACCAGAACTGCTGTGAGAAGCATGACTGCTGATGCATGATGCCCTGCTGCAGGAACTGATTGCACAAATGGGAGAAATATCTGCACCGACTGGCTGGTTAAACTAAAATCAGACTGGCCAGTGATATCAACCACTTCCTGAGTAGGATTAGGTGACTGAATCCAACATCCAGGGAGAATTTTGAGAGATAACAAAAGGTTCAAAGAGATAGCAAAATGGAAGGGTGTTTGAGGAACACTGAGAGTCATCAGCCCTTAAACTATTCTAATGGAACTGGGGTCACATTGACTTGGAAAACGAAAAGCTACCTGTATAATACATGATTATAATTAATACCTGAAGGTGAAAAATTATGTGTAATTGTAAAGATTGCTACTTGAATTAAAATATGTTTAACTCTTTGTTACAAAGGAGAGATAGAATCAAAGCAAAACCAGATGGAGGTTTGCTAAAGTTATCTAATAATAGAAAGTCCTCTAAGTGCTCTAAGAAGAAAAGGTGAATCACACAGGTATAAAAATATTTCCTATGGAAAACAGTATTGCATACCATACAATCACATATGGGAATGGGCTGCATACATTTAAGTGTAGCTTATTGGGACTGTGAAGACTGAACCTTCATTTATTGTTCTGGGGGTATTTTAAGACATGTAAAAAATGGTGGAAGTCAGGGTCCCTAAACTGATAAGGTATCAGAATGTTACTTATAATACATAACCTTGCATGATTATTCAACTAGAGCTAATCGGTAACTTTGGAGATCTACAGCTATCACACTTGAGAGATATGCATTGATGAAGATGGATTATTGAACATGATAGGTGTTTTTCATGGTCTCTTTAGGCAGATTCCAGAAAAACAACAGCTCAAGACATGCATTATATATGTAAGAATATTATCATCCTTTCAGTACTTAAAAGGGGCCTATAAGAAAGATGGGTAGAGACTTTTTAGCAGGGCCTGCTGCAACAGGACAAGGAGTGATGGTTTTAAACTAAAAGAGGAGAGATTCAGACTGGACTTGAGGAAGAAATAGTTTACAATGAGGGTGGTAAAATACTGGCACAGGTTGCCCAGAGAGGTGGTGGATGCGCCATCCCTGGAAACATTCAAGGCCAGGCTGGATGTGGTTCTGAGCAACTTGATCTAGTTGAAGATATCTCTGCTTGTTGCAAGACTATTCTGTGATTATGAAATTGCTCCAATCATTGTGCTGCTCTCTATGTAGAATTCAGTTATGTTCATATACATTCAGAAATCACTGTGAACTATCTTATAGTGTGTAACATGCCCAGTGACAGGCACATATGCAATGCAAAGATGCAAATTACACCAATGCCTTAAAGGTAAGACTGTGGTTGACGAAACCTGAACTTAGCTTAACAGCCTACTGTTGTAATTTTAGTTGTTATACTAGCTTCAGTGATTGTACAATGGTTATACTTCATTATACCCTCAGACCCTTAAGTGTCACAAAAGACCATGCAGGATAAAATTGTAAATTTCAAGAGCATTCATTAACTCCTGTTAAGAAGCCTTGAGTCACAGGAGAGTTTGTAACATGTTTGCTGGAGCTGTGTAACGATTAGCCTATGTTTAGCAGACCATCTATCAAAGTGGGGAATTTTAGCCTGGTACATGTGATTTTTTGCCACTGCCATTGCTTGCCTAGTGCCTGAGTGACTATTGCTAACCCCATCTGAGCCTGTGTCTGCGAGTGCTGCTGGGGGAAAAGATCTGACAGCCCCAAGCATTTCCTGCATGGCCAACAGCATCCTTAATGTCAACTGCATCTGGGAGAGACTATTGTGCAGTTGTCAGACTTCAGCTGGGTACCTCAAAATTGAGGAGGGTGACATCCCCCATGAACATCAGGCTGTGTGTGACCTCACAAGGCCAGTGCCTTATCATAACACATATGACCTCACCTGCCTTAGGAAGACTTAAAACTATCAGCCTCAGGACCTAGAGGCACATTGGAAAGAGGGGAATGTCAAGAGAAAATATGTAGGTGCTAGAAGGTTTTCTGTATAACAAGTTAAATTGCACTATTAAATGAGGGTGGTGTGTTTCAGGGAGGAATGTGAGACTATGCAACCAGCCTTCAAGCGCCCTCCTAGGTAAGGTTGCTGATCAGGGATTTTAGGAAAGAAGTGGTGTGAAAGCCAAACTGCTCCTGAAGCTGTGGTATTTCATTGTTAATCCTGAGTGTACTGGATATAAACCATACAGTATTTGGCTAGTGTTAATAGGCTGCTTATTTAATAGCAATATATTGTTATAGAAGACCACTGCAATAACAGCAGGAATGTTCCTCTGGGACAAGTATCCTAGAGAGCTCAAGCTACTTACTTCCTAAATGTTAGAGATAAACATACACTGGTAAGACAGAGGTGACAGTTACCAAGTATTGTGGGTATGGCATTTAGGAGAGAGTCCTAAATGTTTTATATTCTTCCCCCAACACATAAACATATACGCAAATACAAGGAAATAGCAGTACTGGCAGTTGTAGAATGTTACTACTGGCAGTAATCACTTTTGAGAAATACATACAGAGGGCACAAATATAACAGTATATACATACAATGTTTAAAAATACTCTATTCCTAAAGTTTCCCCATATTTTGTATCTGTGAAATGTTTCATAAATTCTTACTTGAAACTACAGACTTTCTGCTAAACTAAACCATTTTTTTTTAGTGAGACTCATAATCATTTTCACAAATATTGCTCTAAATCTCCTGATATGTTTTAATTGGTATCACATGTTGAAGTGTCTTGATTACTGTGTAAACAATTGTGGAAGATATTTATATTTTCTGATATTCTGTTATACAAAATAAGGACACCAAATCATCATAATATTGCAATGCTGGGAAAGCAAGAAGCAGCTATTATCTAGGACTTTCAGGCTGCTGGAATGTGTTTTCATTTTGCTCTGCATGGTAAGTGCAAATGTCCTTCCCATCAACTGCACTTACTGGAATTTGACAACCCTGAAACTGGGTTTTAGTATTTCAGATTGCACATTAATTTTGATCTTTAAAGACAAGTTGTTATTCAAAGCTCCTGATACCAGGACAGGGCAGAGGTTAAGACCTCAAAAGATAGTCTCACTGAATACCCTATATTCCTTTAAAGTACAAAACCCAAAGCCAAAATCAAACACTGACCATTTCTTTTCTCCTATGTGTCTCACTCTGGAGAATCCAAAGATAGGGGTAAATAGTTTGTTTAATCCCCATTCCTAATGTTTGAGCTGCCTGAGAAGGCTACCAGGACAAATGATTTTTTTTTTTTTTCCTGGGGGGCATTTGTATCGGATCTGGATGACAACTGTGCCATGAATTTCTTATGGATTCTGGAACAAGTAATAGTGGTGAGTATAGCTAGCCAATGTGGCAAAATAAGCTAGGGTTTTTTCAAACTTTGAACTCCATTTTGTGTTATGTACTGAATGTGCAGAAACCAGCCCAAAGGTGGGAAGCTTCAAAGTATACCATAACATGCTTAGATGCCTGACACCTCCTTGATGGACAGAAGGAATCCCTCAAGAATTCAATTCTTCTGGAATAATGAAACACGAATCTTTCTGAACAGCTCGCTCTGTCCATGGGCATCTCTGTCATCTTTTCAAAATCAGTGCAAATATATGTCATTCAACCTGGAAGCACTGCATGGTAAGATTAACCATTTTTCTTTCTTCAATGCTTTCCAGATCTTGAATGTTCTTTAATCCAAAACTTTGATTTCTATTTGAACTTTGTGTACTTAAAAAAATCTAAATTGATGTTACAGTAACTATACAGTTACTGCTCAGCATTGCTATGCAACATTTTAAAGTGTATGTAACTTAAGCATGAGCATCCTTTAAAAGACTAATTTAGAGTGGCTTGATAAGACTCTAGCCTCAGTGGTAACTGGGTGCCAGACACATGCCTTATACACCACTCTTACATGATTCACTGCAGTTATTGCAAAGTCCTCCACTTCCTATTTCTACAGGCAGAAGCAGCTGCCAGCTTTGTTTCAATCTCTGACAATGTACAAAGATACATTCAGCTGTTCATACAATATTCAGTTTGAACTGCCATTTTGCCTCCAGGTAGAGGAGTGTCCTGGAGCCAACCTTGTGTTGGCTGGCAGTGTCCTAAGAGCCAACCTTGGCCTTTGAGTCTCAGCTAAATCACTGTGTAACAGATGATCACAATAATATATGCCTTAGTATCTTTGAGTGACAAATCAGGCAGATAACATCATGTCCAAGCTGTGAACTGGAACATGAGTAGGTACAAATAGTATGGTGATCAATTTCCCAGTTCACAATGTTAAATATGGCATTTGGGCTTTGTCTATTATGGGAACAGGGGCTATTTGCAGAATTTAACTTCCTGAAGCTAAAGTTTGCTTGGATGTGAGACTGGACACTGTGTCATTTCTACTTAAAATCTTCCAAGTGAAGGTTAAGGGGTTCCTGTCTTCAGGGAGGTAAAAGTCACAGCTATATTCCTACCATTTACAGATTGCTAATGCTGACTTATAAATCTCTCTCTCATGTTTATAATAGATAATAGTAGTCCTGTGAACTTGCTTGAGCTTCCTGACTTGGCCTGAGTGACTGACACATTGATAATGTGCACAGTATGATGTGGAAGCAAGGATGAGAAAAGGAATTGTTAAACTTTGGTTTAGCCCATGCACTGAAATCACTGCCATGCAAAAAAGTTTTGAGAAGCACAGGTAATTTCAGAAACAGTTTTTCAGTCTCCAATGAGGCTGAAGAAGTGGTGGACACTGGGGAAAAAAAGCAATCGTAATCTGTCACAGCTGGATATGGTAGATAGTTCTGCTACAGCATAGATGCTACTTCTTTCCATTACCAAACAAAACCCACTTGGGCCTCTGGCTGGGGCAACTGCTATAACAAACAGTATGAGTACTGCCCCACTTAGGACAGGGAATACTTGTTTCAATCCCTAAGGCAAAAAGGACAAAAGTACTTGGATTTTTCCATGTGTGGTCAGAAACTGCTTCAAGGAAGGAAATATAATGTAGTTAAATGCACACTGTTGATGACACAAATCATTACGGAAACTTTCACTGAAGCCAGTTTTGGGTAAAGTAATAAATGAACTGCTAGTGTTTGTTACACACTGTGCTGTTAGCTATCTGGCAGACAAGAAGGGAAAGCAGCAGTAAAATTCAGAGAAAGCCAAGATAGGGGAGATGAGTTACAAACAGAGGAAAATAATTTAGGAGGTGGTTGTGGAAACAAGGTAAGGTATCTAGGAGCTGAAAAGAGTTTATAAAGTTTATAAACGGAGGCTGAAAAGCATTGAAGAGAGAACTCTAAATAAATGTTCTCACTAGATATCTAAACAAAAGAAAATTGCTGGACCTTAAATAAAAGTGCTAAATGCTGGCCTAGAGGCATGGTCAGGCCAGTGATTAGTTGCCTTGGATATTTGGTAGCCTATCCAAAAACGAGACATGCTGGTATTCGGTAAAAAAATTTCCACAGTGATCTACCTGTGGTATTCAGCATTCATAGCTGCGTTAGGATCAGCTGAATTAATCTTACTTTGTTTAGGGATTCTTTATGTGTCTGGTAAAGCAACATTTTGCTGTACAGACGTGGTGTTTATGAGCACTCATGGATGCCCCTGGAGTCTTGTTTTGCTGAGCTTGTCTGTGAGCACGCCAGCACCCTATGAAACAGTAGAGATATTTATGCCAGCACTCATGATGACACCACATATGTTGGGGGGGGGGTTGGTGGGGTTTTGTGCATGTGTGTGTGTGAAACGCAGAGTTCACCCAGCACCACACACACTGAGAAAGGCTTCAAAGGCACTAAGAAAAACTGGGGACCACTGAGGGCCAGCAGAAGCAGACAGCCTGCTCCTGCCCGTGCTGCCCTGATGGGGAGGCTGACTCCGACGAGCAGAGAACATCTTGCTCCTCACCTCCTTGCCTCCCCAGCCCCTTAGCACCAGGATTTGAGGGCCACGAGGATGATCAGGGACTGGAGCACCTCCCATTTGAAGACAGTTGGGGCTGTTCAGCCTGGAGAAGAGAAGCTGCGTGGAGATCCCAGAGCTGCTTCCAGTATCTGAAGGGGGCCTACAAGGATGCTGGAAAGGGCCTCTTCAGGAGGGACTGTAGCAACAGGACAAGGGGTGATGGGTTTAAAGTGAAACGGGAAGTTCAGGTTGGATATAAGGAAGAAGTTCTTTACTATGAGGGTTGGTGAGGCCCTGGCACGGGGTGCCCAGAGAAGCTGTGGCTGCCCCATCCCTGGCAGTGTTTAAGGCCAGGATGGACGGGGCTTGGAGCAACCTGGTCTACTGTGAGGTGCCCCTGCCCATGGCAAGGGGTTGCAAATGGATGATCGTAAGGGCTTTTCCAACCCAAACCATTCCGTCATCTATGCTGTCGTGTCGCCGCTGGAGCAGCAGCACTCCCTTCCCTCGCCTCACGAGCGGCTGCGCCAGCGCAGCAGCCCCGGCCCGGCCCCTGACACCCAGCTCGGTTCTGAGGGGAACGACTCCCCCGCCCCCATCTCGCGATTCCCCCCCCCGTGAGGGCAGAGCGGCGGGGCTACCAAACCCAGCCCCTCGCTCGTCCGCGGTAACGGGAGCCCCCCAACACCTCTTTCCCTCAGCTACTGTGGCTGCTGGTGCACCCGGAGCCCCGACACTACCACACCGGGGGGGGGGGGGGCGGAGGGGAAGCGAAGCACGGCGGGCGGGGAGGGGCGGCCCTCGCGGGGTGCCCCGGCCGGTGGGCGGTGCCGGGCGGTGAGAGGCAGGGGGTGCTTCGCCCGCCCGCCCCGGCCCCCCTCCCCGGGTGTATATAGCGGCGGCGCGGGGAAGCTCCTCCGGCCGGCAAGATGGCGGCCGCCGTCTGCGAGAAGTCCCTGCTGCCGCCGAAGCTGCCGCAGCTGCTGGAGCGGGACCCTTACCTGGCCCCCTTCGAGAAGGACTTCCAGCGCAGGTACCGGCCCGGCCTACCGGCATAGGCCCGCGCCGCGGGGAGGGGAGCGCCGCCTCAGCAGGGCGAGGAGCGGCGGGCGAGCAGGCGGCGACCGCCCGCCTCTGGGGGCGTCGGGGCGGGCGGGGGGAGCGACGGGGCGGGTGGTGTCCCCTCCTCCTCTTTCTTTTCCCCTCCCCATCGCGGCGGGGGCTGTCCCTCAGCCAGTGCCGGGGCGGTTTCGCTCCGGGCCGCGGCGGCGGAGCGGGCCTGCGGCGGGGTTTAACGCTGGTCGATACGGCGGAGGTGCCTTCATTGGCGGGGCCTCCTGAGCCTGGTGGGGCGCGCCGTCGCGGGGAGGCCTCCAGGGCGGGTCTCTCGGCCGGCCTCTAGCGCTGTGTGCGGCCGGGCCGTCTCTGTCTGCCCCGACCCGACCCCGGGGGCGGGGGTGAGGGGACGATGACACCCGTTTATGGGCCGGCCTGGCCCTGGGAGCGACGAGGGGAGTTGGTGACAACGGACAGCCGAGCTGTCCTCGCCAGAAAATAATGCTTTTAGTCCAGCTGTGGTAGACTGTAAATAAACTGCTCCTGAGTCTTCTCTTTCTGGAGAATTTTCCTTTACATACGTTGTCCTGCATCCTCGGCTCGTCAGATTCTCGATCGATGAAATCGCAGAGCGAGCGCTGTGTTGCTTTGGGGTTGCCAGTCTGAGCATCCCGTTATTGTTTTGCCCTCTCGCAGGGAACAGCGGCATCAGCCCTCTGGCCAGGACGGGCAGCGGGCCTGGGTGAGAGCCGGCCAGCAGGCAGAGGCGAGCTGCGTCCTGCAGAGCCAAAGGCTGCTATAAAGTCTCGCTGGCCCATTGAAAATAGGAACTGGAAGTTTTATGGTGCAGCTTCTTGTATGTTGTATTTCACTAGTGGTTTAATCAAAACTGTAGAACTGACCAATACCCTATATTCCAAAAGTCTGTGTATGTGGGAGGGGAAATAGGAGGTCATTTGGATTTTTTAATAATTATTCGGCTTTTTTGCCTTTGCTGTATTACACATATGTTGCTTTTGGCTTGACATTACTGGTTGTCCTGTTGAGATCTGGCAGAGAATAGTGGCGGGGCTAGATCTTGTAAAATGGGATTTAGAATGGAGTAAACAACTAGGCTGATTTACAGAGCATTTTCCCAAACTGTGATCTCTTAATGACAGAATAACTGTGTTAAACAATGAATTTTGACAAGCTTGTGGTAATGTATGCAGTGTTGTAAACCACCTAATTCTTTTGGTGGGGTGCCAGGGTGTAGGAAGTATAAAGTGGGTGGATCCTGGCTCTTAATAAAGCCATTCAGTAAAACATTCGGGATTCCCAAATGTGCCTGCTATCTTAATAGGCACATTGTGAATGGTGGTGTCTGTATTGCTGTGGATAATATGCTCTGCTGAACTCGGAGAGTCTGTAGAATTTTTGTGTACTTCTTGGGCTCAATCATCTTGAGCACAGGACTTCAGATGGTCGTGTTTGCGTCTTGCTTCTTCCTGGCTTTTGAACCTCAAACTGGTCACTTAGCATAGAATTATTGTGGAAACATATAGAGGTAGAAGCTTAGAAGACTAAAGGAAAATTTTTGTGGCAACCTGTGATAACCTGAATGTCTCATTCTAAGCCCAAATGACAAGTATGTTCTGTCTTTCATCCTGTGGATGACAGAGTGCCAAGGAGGAAAAGTGCAAGCACAGGGAAATACCTGTTGGTGTCTTGATGCAGTGCTCATCACAGCTTCCATGGTCTGTGATTCAGTCTGCAATAGCTCCAGGTGCATTTTTGTGTCTGGAGGTCTTGCATCAAGAGTGTCCAGAAGAAAGCAGTTTTGCAGCCTAATTGCTGCTTGTGTGAAGAACAAGTTCCTCTGGGGCCTCCAGTATGTAGGTTTCACTTTTCTCCAGTTCTGGTACTGGAGGAGGTGGGGAACAGCCCTGCACAATTCTGTTCACTGTGTCATGAGCAGTGTAGAGCTGCATGATCTTTGTTCCGGGGTGAAGAATTCTGATGTGTTTAACTGGTCATTGTATGAAGAATTCTGATGTGTTTAACTGGTCATTGTATAAAGGTGGTCCACATGACTGATCCTTTGCTGTGTGTTCTGTTTTTCCTGGCCCCCTTTGGGTGGGAGTTAGAACTGAGTACAGTCAGAGCTGAATACTGTGTATTAATGCAACTACTAATGATACGGCACTTGCATAACTAACCCTTCAAGTAAAAGTGTAAAGCAAAATAAACCTGGCAAGCTGTCTAGAAGCAGAAATGTATTTAAATATGTTTACCTTTGAAGTTCTAAGCAAATGTGCAGAGTAAATTTGTGCATATTAATCTTAAATCCTACTGACAGTAAGTTCTGGTGCCTCTGGAAAGGTAGCAATTATTTTAAATGGTGGCCTGTCATTAAGTAACCCAGTGGATCAGATGTATCCCACACATGGTGTAGGAAAGGCTGTGACAAAGCATTCAGGAATATGTGCTGAAAAGCAAATCTGCTTATTAGGAGTTGATCAGCTGTCAACTGCTTGCCATGGCCTCATCATAGGTAGGACTGGAGGAGTAATTCTTTATATGCCTGGGTATTAGCAATTCATTTACTCCTGTAGAGTAGAAAATCTGGGTAGACATAATACCACTCCACTTCTGAACAAGTAACAATCTGTCCATTATTCCTTCTGTTTTGCCACTTGAATATTGTTTAAAGAACAAAGATACAGGTAGTCTGTCAGTTCAGATGGCTGTGTTGTTCCAGAGGGAGGGGACAGGAGGCAGCTGTAGTGCTTGGCACCCTGTAGCACCAAAAGTGTTTTACTTGCTCAGAGTAGGAAGCTTTGGGAAAGAAGTGAATCAGACTTGATGAAATATATGTGGATACTTTTCCTGTAGTAGTCTAAATGTCTTCTGATTTTGCAGCGATATTGACCTTACTTAATATTAAACAAAATAATTAAGAACTGATGGGAATTTTGTAGCTGTTGGCTGTCATACTGTGTTTTGCCTAGAGAAATAAAAATCAGGGATTTTGATAAAAGGATAAGGATGCTTGAGAAACAAAGCTTTTTAAACATTTGTCTGTGGAGATCCTTATACTGTGCCTTGTGCAGAGTCATTTAAAAATAGTCTTCCCTTTGTCTCAGTATGTTCTTCCTTCAGAAGGGAGGACAGATAAAAAATTTAAGGTCTATTCTTGGTGGTGACATCAGCAAGTTGTTGACTCACCTTTTGGGCTTGAGTCTGTCTGCTGTTTTATCCATAACACCATATTAGCATGGGCAGATTATTGCTAGTGGAAAGTGTTATAACTGTTGTTTTATGACTGTTGTAGGATGAACAGTTAACCTGATTATGATGGCTTATTTGCATATTTAAAACAGGGCTATTTCTGGTGTTGGATTGGGTTTCCCAGGACCTTGTTGGGTTGTGCTGAGTCTCTGAGGATGTACTTCCACAGCCTTGTTGGGCAGCCTCTCCCTATGTTTGGCTCCCCTCATTGTGAAAATCTTGATTTTAATACTGTAGTTTCCTTTCCTGCAGCTTCATCCATTGTCTCTGGTATTTATTTATTTATTTTTTTCTGGGTACCTTGCAGGAGAGCTTGGGCTTATTCTTTGTTATGGGCACACTCGCCACCTGCCTTTAGATAGCTTAAGACTGTAAGTAGATATTGCGAGCCTCATGCCTCTTCGTATTAGCTTTTTCATATCCAGTCTCAAGAAACTTAGCTCTCTCAGTCCCTACCTGCGTGCCATAGGTAGTAGAGCAGAGACCGGAAACAAGAAGCTGCCTTTCTACAGTGGCCTTAGCTTGTCTTTGCTTGCCAATGCCTTGAGCAAGTGCAGAATGATCTTGCTGGAGTTCACATCCACCTCTCCTACCCTTTGGATGCTTTGATGGGAACAAACTGCTTCTTTAAAGAAGCAATGCTTAAAATGCAATGCTAGGACCTAGATAAGTCCTAAGCATGGAGTGTATGGGCTGCCATAGTTACATGAGTGACTATTGGGAAGAAGGAGACACTTGGTTGCATTTACTCTTCAGTTCTTTGTCATGCATGGGCATATTATTGCAAATGGTGTTCATGGGGGAAAACGGAAATCTGTAATTTTGCCTTTCTCTGAATGCGTGAATTTGACGCTGAGCTGGAGTGGGAGGGTGGGGAGTAGGGGTAGGAGGAAGGGAAGGTGAGGTGGGGAGAAATCCTTTCAGTGTATATATAGTGAACCATTCAGCCTTGACCCAAACACACACTATTTGGCACTTGAAACAAGAATCTCCGTAAAAAAAACAAACGACCAACCAAAACAAACCAACAACAACCAACCAAAAAAACCACAACCCGTCAAAGTGATAGTGTTTGAATAGTTGTCCTGGTTTTAGCTGTAACAGGGTTTTTTTTTTTTAACTTCCTAGTAACTGGTGCAGTGCTGTGTTTTGGCTTTAGTTGAAAATAATGCTGATAACGCACTGATGTTCTAGTTGTTGCTCAGTAGCACTTAACCCTGATCAAGGACTTTTCAGTCTCATGCCAGTTTCAGTGAGGAGGGGCACAGGAAGCCGGGAGGAAGCAGAGACAGGACAACTGACCCAAACTAGCCAAAGGGGTATTCCATGCCACAGCACATCATGCCCAGTATAGAAACTGGGGGTAGTGACCGAGAAGGGACCAGTCACTGTTTTGGTCAGGCTGGGTATTGGTGGATGGTGAGCAGTTGCATTGGGCATCACTTGTGTTTTGAGATCTTTCATTTCTTCTCATGTTTTTCCTACTATTATTGTTATTGTTGGTATTCTTTCTATTAGCACTATATTTTAGCTATAAAGTTGTTCTTATCTCAACCCCTGGGGTTTACATTCTTTCTTTCTGCTTGGGGGAAGGGGGGGAAGGTGTGGGTGAGTGAGCTGCTGCATGGTGCTGAGTTACTGGCTGGGGTTAAACCACAACAATGGGATATCACTGTGCTGCATTGGTTGACCATCTGTATATGTTTTTCCCCAAGTACTTTGTTAACTCCCAAGTGTTATTTAGGCAACAGACTTTGCATAATTTGATCTGTATTTTTAGTCTTTTACCTCTTAGAACATAATTGGTTCAATTAAAGCCATTAATGCCTGTGGTGTAATTGCATTTTATGGAGTTGCAAACTGGTGTTAGAAAGTGCTGCCCATTAGATTTTTCTAGTATAACAATATGCATGGCTTACTATGTTTTACCAGCCCCTGCAACTGCTT